CTGGATAATTGCCGTCCATTCTGTCTGTTCCATATTCCGTTCTGGCGCAAGATGCCAAAGCAGGCTGGGGTCTGCACCCCGGGAGCTTCTGGATGAGGCAGATCGCTGAGGGCCGTTAATCTGGCTGGCTGCATTGGCTACCTTGGTGTTGACATCAGGAGCTGAGCAAGGGACGCCTGCCTCGTGGTTCTGCTGGGCATCTCAATGACTTTTGCCAGTTGCAGGGTTCTGTGCTTGGGATTTTATGGTGAGTCTGCACCTTCTGTAAGGAGCAATTTCAGAAGGTGGTCCTGGGGGACCCCCCAGCCTGTGGGGTTGCCCAGGGGTGTATCTTGTGCTCCATCATGTTTACCAAATAGAAGCAGCTGCTGGAGATGCTGCCTGGAGTCTGGGGGCTGCAGGGTCTGGTGACACCATTAAAAAACCCTGAACCTGGATGATGGGCTTTGTGACTGTGGTACGTCTCTTCTCATCAGGAGAAGTTGAGCAGTCAAAAACTGAGAGGTTTTCATAATGTGGAAACTGGCTGAACGCAGCCACGAGAAGGCCAAAGGTGCAGAATCCTAGCCCTAAGCACAGATAGTATTCCTTAAAATTTAAAAACCTTCCGATTCATATGCTAGTTGGAAACATTGCTGGTTTGTTGTTCAAATATAGCAGATTTGGAGCTTGTGGCTAATGGGGATGAACCTGGAGTTTTGGATCTGCTGGCATGTCATTATAGCATAATTAAAAATGCTTAAAACTTGGCCCCGTTCAGTATTTGTGAGCATCTTTGCAATGAGAAATTAGCTGGGACTCCTTTCCAGTATATGCTGTAGGTCGAAGAAAAGAGCAAGTCTCATTGCAGCTAGAAAAATCCAGCTATTAGTTATTTTACCATTAAGAAACACATATTATAGATAGGTATAGATAAATTATAATTTTAAAAGGCGAATTACACTTGAGTTCCTCTGCTGTAGTCTCAGTTATATTCCCTCTCGATACCACAATTCCCGGTACACTCGTTTGGAAGTAAGCCCCGTTGAGCTCGCCAGACGAAGAGGTGCAGGAACGGGGGGCGGGGGGCTTGGGCGTTGACAAGGACACATGGGAGGCTTGGCTTCCTTTCCTCAGTTCCATATAATGGCTACGGCGGTGACCCTTGCTTCTTCCTCAGTAGACCACCAGGTGAGACCGTTTTTGTGTTACTTTTATGCAGCCGTCTGGGAATGGCTTCATTTCAGTCTGTTTGTGCAGAGAGAGGCCGCTTTGCTTCGCATAAACAAAAGGACAGGCTGTGCCTCCAGGAGCAGGCAACCTGCACTTGGAGGGTGGGGCAGCAGCGGTGGGAAAAGCCCCCCAGGGGGGCAAGAGGTGCCTGCAAGGCGGAAGGAGCACGCACATCCCCGGAAATCCTTCAGTTCTGTGTCTTGACTCCACTTACCAGGGCTGATTTCCCCCATGAGAGTGCTGTATTTTATTTTGCTCAGGAGCACTTGATGCCACAGGTCCAGGCCAAGTTTCACAACCTGCTGCTTTTAGAAGTGGGTTATTAGCGGTATAAATCCAGTGGAGGGAAGCACAGGTGGTTCCCAGGTTACAAACATCTGACTTATAAACAGCCCGTACTTATGAACAAACTGTCATGCAACCTATTAATTTAAAAATTTGAGTTACATTCAAACAGTTGGCAGTAACAAGCAGGAACCTTACTGTGGAAAATAGTCATCACCATAGAGAGAGTGGAGCAAAAGCAGGGGTGGGGTGGGGTGGGGTGGGGTGGGAGCATGCTTTCCTGCTGCTCCCATCCGGAGAGGGAAATCTTTCCGGCATTTCCTTGGTGCAAAGAGGAAGTGCTGGTGAATTGGGGAGCAGGGGGAGAGCTAGAGATACTTGAGCTTTTCCCACTTTTGTGGGGTTCCTGTGCCCCTAACTCCTCATGAATGTGGCCGGCAGGCTGTACTTGATCTAGCTGACATACCAATTCAATTTAAAGGTGTTCTCAGGAATGGAACATGTTTGTAACTTGGGGACTGCCTGTAATTCTAAGGGAAATCACACTTGGCGCACTTTTTTCAATGTGCATCAAGTTCTTACGGCTTTCTGTGAGATGCACAAGTCATGACTCTGAATGTAACTGAGAGGCATGGAAAGAAAGCACTGTGCTTCTAGCACCTCTAGGTAAGGTTTGAAAGCAGAGCATTCCAAAAGTGTTAAAAATGGAATACCTTGATCATCAGCGAGTTAGGACCTTTGCTAATTACAAAAAACAATTAACTTATTCTAAAACAACAGCATGAGCTTTCAGAAATGTAATTTTTGGCAACATCACTTTAGTGGAATGGGCATGTGAAGCGATGTGGGGGTGAAGTCAGAATAAATTGCCTTTGATGCCTTTGGTGCTTTTTAATTTAGGAAGACAATAGCTACCAAGGGGAGGGCAACAACCACGTATAGACAGTGGTTGTTAAAATGGCCGTCCCATAATTCTAGACTACGTCACTTGGTAAATTTGATTGGCAGTGTGCTTGGTATTGATCAAAGCCAGTTTTTCTTCGTAAAGCATTTCATTAAATTGCAGAATTCACATCCACAAGCTGCAAGGAGGATGAGCAGCTCGGAGTGCCGCGCACGTGTGTGTGTGTATGTCTATGTTTCAGAAGATTCTTGGTGTGTATGAGTCACGATATGCACACAGGACCTGGGGGTGGTGGAGAGCTGGTGCCATTGGTGGCCTCCGTGGAAGTTTCCCAGAGGGATCTGCTATCGTGCATTTAGTGTTGCAGTAGACAGAGCTTTGCCTCGATCCTTGTGATGATCTCGAATGAAGAAGAGGCACAAACCAGCAGGTGTTACTCAAGGGGGAAAGAGTTTTGAAGGGGAGGTACTAAAGCCCACATCCGGTCCCTCCAGTATACAGTAAGTATGTCCTGGGGCAGAGAAATAGTTGGCTTTGTGCTTCTGTATGCAAGGGAGTTTTGTCATCAGCATCATGCCTCCTTCTCAGAATGGATGCTGCTGCGTCTTCTCCGCAGCGTTGATATGGCCCGGATGGGATACATAGTCACTTCCTTTGTTACAGAGCACAAAAAGGAAAGGTTCTGGGCTAAGGAATGTTGCTCAGTATCTCCTTCTTTGAATAATTCTATAACCTCCCCTGTTTTAGATACCATGGACCAGCTCCCCTTCCAGAACTTAGCAATCAACACCTTTCCCGAGGCTCAAGTGTGAAAGATTTGCAAATTTGCAATGTTCTCGAATGCAGAGATGTCTTGCAGAAGTACTTATTGAGCAATTTTACAGATCAGTTGATTTTATCATTCTCAAGGTATCTTCCCAGGATTTCTGTACAATGAGGCACTGCCACTTGTACGAACAGGAATGTCTTCTTTTTTTCTTTGCTTCCACAAAGCTTTGCTTTTTCTCAGAGTGAAATTATTTCATAGTGAATGCTAGCTGTTGCCAGACTCTGGGGATTATTCTAAGCAGTGTTCATTGTGTAAGCGTGTGCTGAGGTCTCTAGAGGTACCCGCTCTGTACCATATCCAAAACAGCTCCATTCCAGTTCTGCAGTCTGTGGTGGCAATGTTATTGGTTTGTTTAAATGCTCTCCCAGAACCTTTTTATAAGGACTGGCAAATATTATTTCACCCTTTGAGGAAAAATCACACGATGCAAAACTTCCAGGGGAGAACCAATTTGTAGTCAATTGTCCAACTTAGAAATGGTCGTGCGATTTGGACCGAGCTTGTAACACTCCAGGGTCTTCTTTGCCATCTAACAACTCCAGTTTCATTTGCTTGAAGAGCTGACCTATGATTCTCCCCGCAGCCATGTTTTTCTTTACTGACATACCAATATTGGCCAAGATGACTGGATTGCTGGCCGAGCTTTGCAGCTCCTCTCAAGACTGATGTTTCTAGTGCGAATGAAGTTGGTTTAGGTTCATATGTGTAGTAAACAGCTGTGTGTAAACGGCCTTTCAAAATTCTCCTGCTGTTTGTGGGCAGAGAAATTAGGGGAACGTTTCACTGAATCTCATTGGGGGAGGAGATCCTTGCAGTTACCTCGATAGTAGGACTTCCCATTCCCAGCGCGTGGTGCTACTTCTTTCTCTTTTCCCAAGAGTTGCGTAAAAATAAAACAATATAGATACAATCCTCAAGTTTGGTCCTTTTGGCAGAAAGAAACAGGTATCTCAATACATTTTCTAAACCACAAACAAACAAAAAATTCCTACGGAGGAATCTGGCTCTGCAAGGCAAGCAAACTGAGCACCGTGAATGGATCTGTGTGTATCTTTGCATAGGAACGTGATGGACGTCACAGGAATGTATCTTATGCGGTGTAGAATAAACTAGTGGAAGGCAATGCTAGGACAATGACGCTGCAGAGCCGGATTATGATATTTATTCAGGTCAGTTTCCATCTCCTCCGGGGCATTCATGTTACTGAGGCTGATGAAAATGAGGTTAATAGGAAATACGTTGGTGGAAAGTAGCACCGAGCAGGGTGGAGTGAATGTTGTTTAAGGGGAATGTTGCCCATACAGTGAGGTGTTCATCGTCCTGTCCTGGTGCAGAATGGGTTAAATCCTCCCCCCCCCCACACGGAAACATCCAGGGCAGGCCTCGGCCGTGGAGGGAGCTCAAGGCACCTGACGGTCGGAGTTGTGCGGAGAGTCCGGCTGATCTGCTTTCGCTTTGGCTTCTCTGCCCTGGCAGTCCTCTTCTGCAGGCAGATTTTCTTCCTGTGGCTCTCGCTGCTGCCGCTGCCACCACTGCTGCTTGGGAGGAAAGGCTCTCATTTTGAGAAGCCGGATGACCTCCCGAATTCTCAGCCGTGGAGATGCATCCAGCATTCTCCTTTCCGGCAGCAGCAGAAAGCTGGTGCACGGTGCATTCCCGGGCAGGCAGAGGAGCGCTGAAAAATAAGCCTGAACAGCCCCTTTCCCTCCTCGGGCACCAAATTCCCTTCCCGTGCTCCGTTCGGATCAGCTCAGGCTGTGCAATAGCGGAATGTCTGCGCCCCAGAGCAAAGGTAAGCAGGGCAGCGGAACCCAGGCGAGGGCAGCAGCGCAGAGAGAAAGCCCTGCCTGCTTGGAGCTTGCCGGCAAACGTGCATTCACACCCCCAGGGCCGGCCAGCGAGTGAGCGGTGTTGGCGCTTTGGCCATGGCAAGTGGGAGGTGTTGGGATCAAACAGTGCAGCAGGGATACCCATGGGAGAAGCTGCAGGCCGGGGGCTCGATCCCCTCTCGGTGCCGAAGCCGACTGAGCAGGGCAGGAGAAGCACCTGTTCTTCTCGGCGCTGGCGTTTTGAAACGAGCAGTCCGTGGTGATGGTGAGATGCAGAACCCGCTGCTCACTGCAGGGCGGACAAAGGCACGGGAGCGTTAGGTCTGCCACGGAGCAACATGCTTCTGTTATCGTTTCCTCCCCCGGATGCTGCTGGAGGACCAGCGACTCTATTCGCCTGACCCTTCCTTTCCTCTCGTTTCAGCTGTTCCTCCAAAACTCAAAAAACTGAAGAGCCTGACAGCGGAAGTGGGAGCAAAGGTTTCTTTGAAATGTGAAGTGAGTGCTGGAAATCCCCAGCCATCGTACAAATGGTTCAAAAATGGCAAAGAACTGAAAAAGAGCAAAGATATCAGAATAAAATATGGCAATGGAAAGTGAGTATAAAAGAGCAGCTTTCTTCAGCCGGTAAAAGTCTGCAGTCTCCCTTTTTGCAAGACATACGGTTCATATAATTGTCACCGTCCGCATGCTTTCTCTGAAAGAAATATTTGGAATCCTAGAAGAGTAGAGTCGGAAGGGACCGTGAAGGCCTTCGCATCCAGCCCCCTGCTGTTGTAGGACACTAATTTAATTAAAGTGTGATTGATTTCTGAATAAAGAACGCTGCAGGCTTAAATCCTTTCCCACACTGCACCATGCTAGATGGCTCTGGTTACTCATGTGGGTCAGGTGCCTTCTTAACATGCTCAGGTGCATCATTGTTCCAAGGCCTGGCTTGGGCTCAAAGGAAAAAGACCCATCTTTGGGCTAAACCTGCTGTGACCGAGAAGCAAAACCCTCAGCGCCACAAGAAGAGGCCCAAAGAAGGGTGGGCAGAATTCTTTCTTGTGAAGTCCACCACAGCTACGTACTCTTGGGATGCATGCGACAGGCATATAGCGCTGCCATCCAGGAGCTGGGCTGGTGGACGCACCGGGCTGCGTCGTGTTTAGAAGTCATTCGGGTTACCTGTGTTAGTGGGATGCTCCCATTAAGTGCTCAGTGACATATGCTTCTGGGTTACCGTTTCTGTCGTCCTTGCTAAATTTTGCTATGTTCTTACTAGTTCTGGAAACAGTCCTTGGGAGATAAACAGGGTTAGCCCTGCTTAGAGCAAATTCATTGAATGAGTGGCTCCTATATTAGACTAGCAATGGAAAATGCCAGTTTCTCAACATTCAACATAGTTTTTAGCAAGAATTATATGCCAGGTGAGCAGGAATAATCGTAATGATACTTGCCGCCACCATCGAGGCCGCTGCCTGTCACAGAAGACGGCCCGATTTCTCTCACTGGAAATGGTGGTGTTACCTTTTACTGCCAGGCAATTCTTGTGAATTTTGCATGTTGGTTGAGGCTGCGGTGCTGTCCGTATTAAGTCTCTGTTTCTGATTTCCCAAACCAAATAAATGTGACATTTCCATGCCCCTCCGGCCACTCCCAAAAAAGGATGATTATCCATAATGAAAGAGAGAAGGCTTTGCAGCAGAAAGTAACAATTATCTGTATGTGAAATCATCCAGTCTCCTGTCTGTTTATCCCCTTTTCCTCCGAAACGGCTTTCTTTCCATGAATATTTGCTGGTGGGGAGAAAACCAACATTAATTAGCAACAGTCAAGGGCAGGTCCGTGCCTCTTGGCAGTTTCCTTCTGCTCAGTTCACCTGCAACCACGTAAATTGTGGATGAGATGGCAAAAGGTTTTAGCAATAATATCGTAAGATAACATAGCTCTGCCATTGAGGATGGGCATGCTTTTAATTGGAGAGCATGCGCTGACAGAGGGGTCTTTACCATCGGAACTTGCCACAGCTGGTAACCCGACTTCACTCTGCCCCCCGTGTTGCTCAGCTATTGGCAGTTGAAGCCGAACTCACTTTTAGCCAGACTGACTGCTGTCTACAGGTGCTGCACTGCTTTGTTAGCTTGCCCGCTTGGTAGCCCAGGCCTGGCCAGCCCCAAGGCACCTCCAGATGGACCGCTGGGAGCAGTCTGTCCCCACAGCATAGCCGTCAGCACATCCCTCCCCCTTCTCGCAGAGCAAGGCAAGAGGCCTTTAAAGCACATTATTGAGCGGGATCAGCTTGGCAGGGGTGGGTAATCCTGACACTGTGAGCAAGTAGCATCTATCAGCATAGTGGTCGTTCTGGCTGGGGGAGTTAGCTCTTTTCCACGTCAGGAGCCGATTCCAACCTGAATCCCCCTCCTTGCTTTTAGCCAAAAAGGAGTAGGTCTGTCCTCAGGGAGGTTGGTGCTGCTCGTAGGACAGAGGGCAGGAACGCCCGACATTGCTTTGATTGGCTGCTTGTTTGCCCGACAATGAACCTTCCCCCTCCAATGCTCCTTGTTCTGTAGTACCTCCCCCTCCACCAGAGGTGGGGGTCCCCAGAAGCTTGGCTCATCTTGTGCACCTTTCCAACTGGGCTCGTCTTGTTCCAACCTCACCTCTTTCTCATCTAGCTCTGCACCAGAGCCTGAGTGTCCTAGCTTGAAATGCTATGCTCTGAGAGAAGTGGACCCAATCCCTACATGCTGCTACCTGGGTGTTGAAGACTGGCTTCATTAACTGAGACTGCCTAGTCTTTTATTCACGCATATTCCAAGCCCAGCCCCTTGAAGGATGAAAGAAGACTAGCAACAGCAAGCCAGGTGCCTTTGTAGCACCAGCCCATCCGAGCTGGAGAGCCTATGCTTAGATGATTTTCTCTGCGATGGTGAAGGAAGCACACCTGTGTGCAAAAAAAGCCTTTGGCTGGCAGGCTGGGGATGGATAAAGCTTTTCTTGATCAGAGTGCTTATTCTGCAGGTGCGCTTCATTGTGACCTGTGCAAGTTTCTCTTCACAGTTTGGCTCCGAGAAAATGGCAAGTTTTACAAGTTTGCATCAGAAGTAGCAGGAGCAGTTGTTTTTCTCTTAATGATGTTTCTATACCACCCAATAGTGGAAGCTCACCGGGCCATTTTCAGCAGCAAAGCAGATACGATAAAGTACGATATAAAATGCAGCTAACAATAAAAACAAAAATTGCAATGCAAAATTTAAAACTATAATGGTGTAGATGAAGTAAAGTGCGCGATTGGCTGGGCAGCTGACATAATGCCCCGATATAATATAAAACCAAGTGCCCCATCAGAAGGGAAAGTCTCCATGAGTTTGTGCCAGGCAGGCCCTGGTAGGGAGCTTATTCCACAATTGTGCGTGATGTGGGGAGGCACTGGGAAGGCCCCTCCTCTTGCTACCGGCGAAGATCCAGGGTTGTTAAGTGAAAAACCAGGAAGCCACAGGTGGGGGTAAACTGACTGTGTGCTTAATAGTGGGAAAGACGCGATGGAGTTCCAAGGGTTTGGAGCTGGAAGCAGTCAGGACCCGGCAGGCCATTGACTGCAACTGGGAGTCCAGCAGTCGGTTGGAAGTCCAGAACACGGAGGCGACCCAGTTAAGATGCGTCTCACGATCCCAGAATCGGGAACGCCTCTCCACGTTTGTCCTGCCACATCGGTTGCAGCCACAGTGCTTTTCTGTATCTCTGATGCGCTCATTTCTCTTTTGCAGGAAAAATTCCAGATTGCAGTTCAATAAAGTGAGAGTGGAAGACGCTGGGGAATACAGCTGTGAGGCAGAGAACGTCCTGGGCACAGACACCGTGAGAGGCCGCCTCAGTGTGCGAAGTGGTAAGGGAGACGCGGGGCCCCTTCCGCTGCGCCTGCACGAACCTTTCCGGGAGAAGGTCCCACGGAGCGTCGCAGGACTCGCCTGCTGTGCAGGATTGCACTGTGCGCTCCCGCATTGCCTTGGAGGCTCAGCCAGGGATGAAATTTCATCTGGTTTTTATCCCATTGCTAAGTATTAAACACTGGACTCGCTGTGTGACAGCCGCTTCCCCCGCCACCGATTGCAAGGATCAGCTGCATGTTCTTTGAGGCTTTTTGATGTTTATGTCGTTTCTTCCCCCAAGATGTTCCTCCTCCTCGAATAGGCAGGTTGTCTTTCGATTTGCAAAACCATTTATGGTACTTTTACAGGACCGTTCAGGCCGAACGCTCCCAAGGCAGCTTGCAGAAAGATCATTAGCTTCGTGTAAACTCTCTGAAGAGTTTGATGCTAACCAAATGGTATATAAATACTATAAATAAATACGTGCACAGGACACGCTTATTTAGCTTCATATACAGAGCACCGCGGGGTGATTCTGACCGATTCGGAGTTTGACGCACTTGCCGTGCTTGCAGTTCATGGCCCTGGTCCGTTGTTCCTCGAGCGGGGAACGGTCTCGCCTTTCTGTTCTTCAAAGCTCTGTCTCCGTGCAACAAGCAGGTCATAGAGTTGGATCCAAGCTTGATAGAGGGGCCATTCCTTCCTTCTTTCCTTCCTCTCTCTGTGGTGAGCTTAACAGTGGCACTTGGCAGCATTAGGGAGGAATTCTTGCAGTTGCAGAATGATGGTCAGGGTGGTGCCCAACTTCTCCTTTTGCATGATAAGCCTTGCTCAGTGCTAAGCTTAGCATTTCTTCTTCTTGAGTTTGTCAGTGCATTGGCAGTTTTATAGTTTTATCTTGTACTTTTAATCATTGTTCTAGAGGGAAGCATTGCTTCAGCATAAATGATTATTTTAAATAGAAATGTTAAGTTATTACGATAAAAGATTATCTTTATTTTTAAATTAAACTGTAACCAGAACCTGTTTAAGACAAAAGAAGCTGAGGGGAAGGGGATTTGTCCTACGCTCTGGAAGGTCTCGACCTTCCTCTTTGTGACAGCCTTTGGGGTTCTTCTAGTGCGATCTCAAGTCCCTACTCGCCTTCTCTTCTCAAGGCCCAGCTCCCTCCGTCTCTCTTCATGGGGCGGTGTTTCCAAATCCTGGATCATTTTGGTTGCCTCCCTCTGGACCCTTTCTAGTCTTTCTGCATCTTTCTTAAATGTTACATCTGTCTTAAACTTTGTCGCTAAGGAGACCAGCAAAGCAAGAGGAGCTGCAGTAATAAGAGCAGGGGGTGTTGCTTTCAAAGTTGTAGATGTAAAAAATGAGAGCCCGTAAAGGGATGTATTGGCAAGGAAAATATCATGCCCTACATGTTACATGGTCCAAACACAGATCACACTAACTTTCCACTTAAAACTGTTGGAAAAATTAGGAAATTTTAAAGTCAGAGATGAGACAATGATTCTATAGAGGTGACCAAAATCTTACAGCTGACCCCAAAATAGTACAGAGAGAAGGACGGTATTATTCTCAGACACACAGATGGAACCATAACTATGAGAAACCCCAAAACAAGGCAACCTAGCTGATGCCTGGAGGAGCAAGCACCTAGCGGAAAGATCTTTCTCCTTTTACTCAGGCAGACATAATGATTATTCCAGGCTTGATTATATTCGATATTCAAATGACTTTTTATTACATTTAAATTTGTGAACACTGGACTTATTACTGCTTCGAACAACACTCTCTTTAAGAGAACCTATCTAATGGAGCCAAAACAACATAATACCCATCTTTGCAAATTGGAGAGTGCAGGAAATGAGGGAGTCTGTAGACCTGGAAATAATAAAAAAAAATGCTTAATAATAATAATACATCAGGTGAAATGATTCACACTCTATGGGATACTATGAAAGCAGTGGTCCATGGAAAGTGTATTAATCTACTTAGTTATATTAGGAAAAATGAACTGCAACTACAGCTGTACTTCCTTAGGGAAATTAAAAATTGGAAATGCTACATAAAGGTACAGGAGAAGGCAGAACTGACACGAGAAAGAACAAAGTTAAGATTGTTAGAAATAAATAAAATAAAATGTGACGATTCTATGATTTTGGGAGTTAGAATGTCAAGTTATTGGTTAATAGATTTAAAAAAAAATCAGGCAAGAAAATTAGCACCATGGTGAAAAATCAAAGGGTGACTAACAGTGCTGTATCATTTTATGCAGTTCTCCCAAATTCATGTGTGTGTGTGTGTGTGTGTGTGTGTGAACACGGATCTCAGTTAAATAAGGCAGGGTGAGATGCAGAGTGTTAAAATCACAAACTACCTGGAACTGATGGATTTACCAGAGAATTCTATAAAAAGTTTGCTGACCATCTGATAATATTTATGGTCAAACCCAATGATCGGTGAGGGCTCCACAGTTCTGGCGAATATTCCGCATTATAATTCTACGGAAACCAGGAAAAGATATTGTTTAAAAGTTTATGAAGTTGCTCTGGAATAGGAATCAGGGTTAGAATGGATGTCAGCTGCAAAGCAACCCAGGTCGTGTGCAGCACTTCCGATCATAGAAACGGCATTCTCTTGGAGAGGAAAGGAAATGCAATTTCTTTAGGCAATAATTGTGCAGTGGCTGCATAGAAAAGCACATGTGGAAAGGCCCTTGGAAGGCAAGGCCTCGCCACGCTATTCCAGGGGAAAAGGACACCAGCGGAACTCTCCCCTCCCCTCCAAGGGATCCAAAGTTGAATGGAGGCGACTTTTGGATGCGGGTCCTGGCACCGGCTGCAGTGGTTCCGTCAGTTCAAAGTCTTGGGAGGCCCAGCAGAGGCCTTGGCAGGAATTCAGCAAATTGCCCAAATTATCTCATGCCCCCTTTTCCGCCACAGGGGATTAAGCTTGGATCATTTCTCTCTTTTATCCTGGGTACCCCCAAGCGTAGCAGCTGCACATCAAGGGATGTGTGATGAGGGAAACTAAAACCAGTGGGCCTTGCTTGAGCAAAACATCCGTAGGATCACGGAATAGTAGAGCTGGAAGGGGCCAAGAAGACCGTCAGGTTCAGAGGAGCAGGACGCTAGGTTCAGGCATCCCTCTCGGTCATATTTGGAATGCCTCTAGCGTGGGAGATGTGCAACTTCCGTACGTCGTTAGTTGCGCTGCCGTGCTGCTCTGCGGAGGAGAAAATAAATCCCCTTCATTCGTTGCCTGGTCATGATAGAGACCAGAAACACCAGCAAGCCATTTCATAGTAAAGAAGACCCTTTACTGTAGGTGCTCATGAGCAATCGGGCGATCCCGTCTCCTGTCAGGACCAGCTGCCACAGCCATCGAGCAGGGCCAATTTATTGGTTTAGCTTTTTGCAGTGATCAGTAACAAAAAATGCCTTATGAGCAGGAAACATTACTCAATAAAAGCAGGACACGTCCATAGAAAGAGGAAACATAACAGCAGGAAACATTTGCTTACATTTTGTGCATGGTTATCTTGACCCTTACTTCCTTTTAGGACATTTGGGGTCGAACATCTGCCTCCAGGCTTATCCTTACGACTCTGACCTTCTTGAGAGGGGTTTATTTTATATTTTTAAACCGCTTGTGCCTCTCTGATGGTAACTGACCCTTGCTGCTTGCTCATCAGGGAAAAATGCATATTCTCCAGCTCTAAGAGTCAGGAAGCTCTTCCTGATGTTCAGCTGGAATTTGACTTCTTGTTAAATTGAGCTCGTTACTCCAGTCCGTCACTCTTAGAAGGATTGAGAAGAAATCCCAGCCTTCCTCTATGTTCCCCAGAAGTGAGGAACACTCTGATTGCTTATCTGGGCAACTCAGCCGGTATAGCACTACTTGATGGTCTCCAGTTGGGTCTTCCTGGGACAGCATCCTGTAAGGTCCCACCACACCTTGGCCTGGGTGTCCCCACCCCTGGAAGCCCACCTGGGAGCTACACTGATGTCATTCCAGGACCACGGAAAGCCCTCCTCATTTTTTTCTAGCTGGTTTCATCTTGCTAGTCTTTCGAATTCAGCTTTTAGTTCACTGCTCTTCGTCTGTCTTCATTGTTTTTACTTGCACATAGCCCTGGTAAGTTGCTGGCGGGCAGAGCGAAAATACAATAAAGCGAGAAACCTCAGGCTGTAAAGTCCTACCTTGGCTTTCTCAGGAGTGTTCCACCATGCAGCCTAAGGAATTAAGCGTTCACCCTGTCCTTTCTCCGCAGTCACCACGAGTCTGACCTCTGGGCCGGGACATACTCGACAGTGCAATGAAACCGTCAGGTCCTACTGCGTCAACGGAGGAGTATGCTACTACATCGAGGGCATAAACCAGCTGTCATGCAGGTAAGCAAGTAAGGCAGGTTCTTTTCTAGCAGGGCAAGCGCTCCGTGCAGGAGGGCCTGGTGTCCCTCAAAAGTGGTGGTGTCCGTGAAGAGGAGTGGGCGCAGCTGGAGGCCAAGGATGGCAGCAGGGCTTCTTTCCGTCCAAGGTCCACCTTTTTGACAATCCGTTCATGCTGGAATCCGGAAAGCCATTCCTGCCCCGCAACCCCTTTCCTCTTCTGTTTCCCTTTTTCTCTTCCAGTTGCAAGGATTAATGGATTATTCCAATTTCTCCTGCAGCCTTGCTTCAGATTTAGAATCGCTAGAGTCACCTCTCCTGGGGGAAGAATCTGGCTAGTGATAGAAGTCTGGTGTCGCCACGAAAAAGTCATCAGGAAAAGGGAGGAGTAGCTTATGCTTGCAGCACTGCTTGTCTGTCTTGAGCCCTGGGGGCAGCTCAGGTTGCCTTGTGAGTGGGGGCAGCGTGGGCTTCTGACGAAACACTGAAGATGATGGCCTCTGACAGACAGCCAAACACCACTGGGGACAGGGTGCCTCAGATGGCACATTTTGCTGGCGAGGAGTCGGTGCACCTGAGGCCATTGGTATGTCGGGCAGAAAGCTTCCCTCCAATGCTGTTCAGAGGCGGAGGCTGCAACCCTGCCTAGACCCCCCTGGGAATAAATCCCATGGCACCCAGAGGCAGGTGCTTCTGATCCCCTTGCCTAGGATTGTACAAGAAGAACCTGTGAAATGGGCGGATCACGTCCCTTTGGCAGGACACGAATCAGGACGTCTCACTACTGGGTCTTGCTGCGCCATATTGGTAAGCCGTGCTGGGCAGCAGTTCCTCATTCACTAGGCTTGCCCCCACCCCCCGCTGCGGGTGACCACGTTTCCTTGCCACAGCAGGCAAGGCGATCCTGGGCACGTGCCTGCTCTGCCTGGAGAGCCATGCTCGCTCTTATGTCTCCACATGCTGCTGAAGCATGGGCGCATCTCTTTTAGGTCCCATAGAGAGATGTGTGGGACCCAGAGGGAGGGGGTGGAAATCAGAAGTATTTCCGTGCCTTGCCCACCCGGCTCTGCCTCTTTGGCCCTGCCCTGGGACCACCTTGTTGCAGAACAGTTTGTGCTCCCATTCCATGACAGACTGCAGTTTGCACATTGATTTTAGTGCTGATGAAAGAGGTGGGAATAAGACTCCCCAAACCTCAGGGCTCTAGCACAGTCGCTGCAGCTGGAAGATGTCAGGATCCTGGCCGTTCCTTCTTGCCTCGCCTGGTTCTTCCACTAGGCCAGGCAGCTTCCAACTGTCTGTCCCCCCGACTCATCCCCTCCTTTTCTGCCTCACCTCTGGCAGAAACCAAGGCTGCACGCCTGTCCCTTGAAGCTGGGGCGCGCTCGGATGCCATCCATCCGCGGACGCGTCTTGGTGCTCATGGCCCTCCGTTTCGGCCAGCATGGGCTGCGCTCCTTTGGCTTGTGGAGCTTCCGCCACACCCTGCCTCCTTTTCCAGGGCTCAGTTCAAGCGTCTTCCTGCTCGGTGTCAGAACGCTTCCAAGCCCAGGATTGCGTCAGGCAGTGGTGCGAGTATTAGAAGTGCCCAGCAGGGCCGGGTGTGCTCAGCCTGTTGTGGTGTCCTGCCTCCCCCTCTGAGGGTGCTGAAGCCCCAGTCAACGCCCAGCTGCTCACTAGAAAAGGGTCTAATTTAGAGAAAATCTGCACAGTTGAAGACTTTGGGGGGCTAGGGGGCTGGAGAGGAGGGGGGCCTGCGCACCTTGACTGCTTCGCAGCCCCGGAAGGCTGTCCATGTAAAGCAGCCCTTCTCCGTGGCCTCTGGGGTCACACAAATGGGGGAGGGACTCATGGTGGGAAGGGTTCTTGCTGGACTGGCTCTAGTGGAAACCGCTCTCTTCCTGCTCCTTGGTATATTTAGGAGGGGTTCCCACCCTTTTCCCCAGTTCTCTTCCATGGTGGATTCCTCGGGGCTCTCCTTTATCCCCATCTTCAACTTTCTTGAATATGTTTTCTCTTGCTTCTTTTTTCTGCTTCTCTTGAGCCTTTTTTGCCTCCGACTGGGGCATCTCAAGGCCCGTCCACATTGCCAGACCTTCGCTAAGAACCGTACAGGGTCACCCTCAATTTTATGCAGCCTTCCTAAAGTAGGACTCCGCATTCAGTGTAGCTTGAACATTGGCACAGGTCGGTGATGCCTCCTGGTCCCTTTCCAGTCACCTGTGCGATGGCCCAGGTGAGGAAGATGAGAGTTTTATGAGAATGTGGATTCTGCCACCTGCCCAACTTTTGTGGATGCTTATGCCCTTGTTGTTGTTGTTCAGTCACAAAGTTGTGCCCCACTCTTTGTGACCCCGTGGACAACACTCCTCCAGGCCTTCCTGTCCTCCTCCATCCCCTGGAGTCCACCCAAGCTCCCACCGACGGCTTCAGTGACTCCATCCAGCCACCTCATCCTCTGCGTCCCCTTCTTCTTTTGCCCTTAATTGTTCCCAGCATCAGAGTCTTCTCCAGGGAGTCCTTCCTTCTCATTAGGTGGCCCAAGTATTTGTGCTTCAGCTTCAGTCCCTGGCCTTTTAAAAAGCAGTTGGGGTTGATCTCCTTCAGGACTGACCGGTTTGATCTCTTACACCTTTGCAGGAACCCCCATTTATTTTTCATGCATGGCGTTCAGCTACCTTGCAAGAACGTTGTGTGGGCCCCCATCCTACTTCCCTGCTCCATCATTCCCTCCCCCATTTCCTCTCCCCACTTCTGCTGCTGCAAGGCTTTGAATAAGATACGGAAAACACCGGTTGGCTGGACAGCACTTCTTGTGCTGCGGATGTTGGAGAAATATATAAAACCGGCTAGAAGATGCTGGAGCTGCTTGGTGGGAGATCTCTCGGGGCTGCAGCTTTGGGGCTGAGATGGTCTGGGAACAGAACTGGGTGCCTTTTACTCGCTGTCTCATCCTCAAGTTGCAAATACGCGGGAAGAAGGAACCGTTCTGCTGCAGCTCCACTGAGCACTGTTTCCCAAAGGGTCCTCCAAATTCACGGCTCTCCACAGCTCTGGGGAAGGAATAAGTGTGAGGGCACGAAGGACCTTTTGGTGCAGCGTTCTTTTCCCCGTACGCCGCAAGATACCCCGAGGGTCTTCTGTTATGCAGCCAGCTTTGTGGGGGGAGGTCTCGAGGGAGCGGGTCGGCGTGTCGGCTTTGCAAGGGACAGTGGGATGCCGATTCAGGTGGAGCTGAGAGTGGGTTTTAATCAGAAGCAAAACTCACGGCGACTCTCCATGTTCTCCAGACAAAATTTATGTCTGGGTGGGTCCGGATCCTTCCTGCCACTGGATTTGAGATCCGGGATGGGGGATCTGGAGGATTTCAAAGGAAATGAAAAATGTTTTGAGACTGGCAATGTTTCCCGAAGGCACTGCACATCTGGAAGGTGCGAACTGATGTAGTACACCCAGGATTTCTGCCTAACCAAAACCCCCCAAATCTCCCCTCGGCTGCTTCTGCTTTGTATGAAAACCTGCCAGGGATCTGTCAGGCTCGTGGCTTCCCAGAGTCGCTGCAGCCCGGCCTGCGCTTCGCCTCACGCTCTGCTCACTGGCCACGCTCCACCTCCGGGCTTTGCACCGCCTACTTCTGCCTCACCAAGAAGACGCCGTTTTCGGCCTCGGTGCCACTTCCCCTTTCTGGCCGGTCAGGCTCTCCCTATTTCACTGGAATGTCTCTCTCTCTCTCTCTCTCTGTCTCTCTCTCTGAATAAAAACCCAAGCTGATCTTGTGCACATGGAATGGGATTTTGTTTTGTTTGGGGGTTTTTTTTGGCTAATTTCTCAGAGGAAATGCAGGTTTTTTTTTTTTTAAATTTGGTACAACCCCCATTGCTTCACAATTCTGTTTCTCAGTGCAGATTTATTAATGCAGCAATTCAAACTTAGTGTTATTCATAAACTGACCCCAGAACTTTCTAGGGGGAAGAAGTGGCGTTAATGTGATATTGGAACAGGTGCTTTACAGACCAAGGGAAAAAAAGGGGCAGGTTACACCCCAAGGTTTGTACAGTCAAAGTATTATAGGGGCAGTGGGAGGGCAGGAACTGAGGATGGCACAGCAAAGCAAAAGAGGAAAGAGGCGAAGGGGAAGAATAGAGGGGACACGAGCAGAAGGGTCATGCAGGAGTCCGCCTTTCGGTTGGGGATGAAGATCAGAGGCCGAGGCAAGTGCTTCAAAAAGACGTGCGGAGGAGCTCAGAGGGGGCAGGATCTGAAGTGCTCGCTGGCGACGCCCCCTGGCCTCTCGCTTCCCCATCACTTGTGCGAAGTCGGCATGAGTTCCAGATTAAATCATTCTCTTCCAGCTCCCGGATTTTCTCCTTCACATCGAGGCGTTCTAATCGGTCTCCAACATTCAGGATTATTCTGTGTTCCGGGCCCATCCAGAAGGACATTTACCTGGGGCCGAGGCTGGGTGCCCGTTCTGAAACACGGCTCCCGTAGCTGCAGTTTTCTAGAACATCTGACAAGTCACTGCACATACGTGGCACCTCATGCAGGGGGAAGAGAACTTGGAGGGCAAAACATAGTTTTAAAGTCAAGACTGGCAAATTGATACAGTGTTATGTGTAGAAGATCAGACTAGGAAGAGCTGCGTTTAAACCCCTGCTCAGCTATGAAGGTCCATTCACTGTTTCCAACCTCAGCAAGATGCTGTGAGGATACATGGAGGGAGGCACCCTGATTTAAACATATTTAAGGATCATTTTATTGCAAATAACATCCAGAGAATGGCATATGTTGTCAGTTGATACATGCAAGTAGATTCTGACATCTACTTTTCACAGCTTTTCAGGGCAGCATGTACAGCAAATGCTTGAGAGCTTCTTCTATTTTAATATTCTTGGATGGCATGCTTGGCACGCAGATATATTTATAAATTCTCCTGGCCATCCAAAACATTGCAGACATCCTCAGAAATGGCAACTAGAGGATGCATGCACCAGGCCGGGCATGTCTGGCCAGGCTAAATGCAACCCTGCGCAGGTCTGGCTTGCCGATGGGGTGTGCGTGTTCGTTTCTTTTGCAGGATTGCCCTCCTCTCGGTTCTGAATGACGGGTGCTTCTGCCCCATTCCTCCCTTGTGCTGCCGCCGTTTGCTTTCTTTAGGGACACAAGACAAAACATACATGCAAGATTAACTTCATATCATTACAGCTAGGAAGCTGCTGATCTATTTAAATTTCTTTTCAAAGCCCAAGAACACTTCTTCAAAATATATTGAGATTGCATAGTTTCCACAGTTTGGAAATTCCCCTCCTTTACTTTCCACTCATATTTCTCTAGTCGTAACACAACAGTGATCACAAACACAGTTTGCAAAGAAGCCGGACTCTGTTGCTTCCTGGAAGGCTTCTCTGCAAGTTAGGTTTTGCAACTGCAACTTAAAAGCAAAATAAATGTTGTAAGCAGTTGAAGAAGAAATACGGCAAGAACATTTGGCTCCTTCCATTTTTTTTCTTTGGCTGCACAAATTGGAGGGGGAGTTTGTGTTCCTATACAATCTGAACAATAAACTTAACAAAGAAAAAACTTAGACAAATTAGGAAAGCAAATAGAAATCAGTCGCATCCCCTTATCCGCTGTCTCAGTTACCACAATTTTATCTAGCTGAGGTTGATCGTCAGTGCTCCACGTGTGCAGGGGTAGGGGTACAAGGCCCCCATGAAAGTAGAGAACCTGTGAATATCTCTAGGGAAAACCCACGGATATCTCTAGAGAACTATGCACTCTGTTTGGGGAAGCCAAGCTCTTTTTCTCAGTTCTATCCAGCCTCACTCATGTGTTTTGCTTCTCAGGAAACGTGAAGACTTTAGAGATTCTCACCGGTTTTCCCTGGAGATAGTCATTTTTTTCCACTTTTGTGGGATTTCTGCACCCCTAACGCCCATGAAGGTAGTGTTCACTACTATCTACAGTTTCAGGCATTTTCTGGCTGTCTTGGAACCTGTTCTCCATGGATATGGGAGAACTGCTGTATTAGAAATATAATTGTTCAAGAAACCAGTAAGTCTGCAGCTAGTGATTCATATTTCACAAATTGATGAACGAGAGGAGAAATTAAGGTGGACAGTTAATAGCACATGGTGCCTCACTTTATGAAAGAAAAGTTTTCAAAGGTTTTGTCTGAAATGTGGTACAAAACCTACTTCTAATGTGGTACAAAGTCCTGCTTCTAATGCCCAGTGTGGGCAGGTTTACTGGGGCATTGCAGTCTAGTTGAGTCTAAGATGCCGTGTCTTATTTATTTATGTTATCGCCCCCTGTAAAGGGCAGGATACAAATTTTTTAGATAGATAAATATGCGTGCACCCGTCTTCGTCATGGCTGGTGTTGTTGGACGCATACGAACCTGGAAAGGCATACGAGAGAGCTTGGAACGGTATATACGCAGTCAGAGAGGAAGGCAGAATACATGGAGGAATAGTCGGTTTTGCTGTGCATGTTCACATTCAGATGTGCAGAACAGGAAGAGTTCGGAAAGCGCCTTAGCTTTCTATTCAGCACAGCGCTGCAGTTAGACCTGTGCTTAGAAGATCCCGCAGGCATGCCCCAGCCACTGGGCCTGCTGGCCCTCGCTTATCAAGCATGCTGCCCTTGGGTTTTCTGCTTGGCTAAGGAAAGCCTTTCCAAACGCATCAGAGCCATGCGATGCAGTTGTACGCATGGTTATTCAGAAGTAAACCCCAGTTTCAGCGAGACACCGTGGAGCGGTGAGAGGGTTGCAGTCTTGTGTTTCAAAGAGCTGCCTTGTAAAGCCAGAGCCTTCCTGGCCGAGCGAGCGCACATGCAGATCATCCCACGTGGCTCTCCATTCATTCACGGTTGGCGGAAGGAGTTTCCCGTTGCCCTCACGGCCCTCCATCGCACGCTCTTTCTCTGCTGGGGAGGGACCGAGGGCAGGCACCGCGCAGCTTCTTTTCCCACCTCGACACTTCCCCGGGCCACTAGCTGCCCTGATGCCTCCAGCGATGCCTGGGCCCTGGGTGCAAAGCCAGCTGGTGAGGAGGGAGATCGCGCACGGAGAAGGGAGCCTGGGGAAGGAGCGGAGCAGCCTCGCAGGAGAAGTGCTTGGGGGCCGCTTGCATGAGGCGCCGCTTTTTATTTTCCCTTGAATTCGTCCGTCACTGTGCACTTTTATTTCCAACCGTACCCTCAAGGATTCCCCCAGCCTTGTTCTGTGACTTGTCCCCTTTTCCTCCTCCAGATGTCCCAATGGATTCTTCGGACAGAGATGTTTGGAGAAACTGCCTTTGCGATTGTACATGCCAGATCCTAAGCAAAGTATGTTTGAAGACAATAATTGCACACTACTACTTAAAATCTCCCGGGTACAGCGCTGGACTTAGGTGGCGTAGTGAGGGTGTTCTTTGGAGCTAATATCTGGGGTTAAGGTTTAGGGAAGGCAGGTCAGGGACCCACCAGGAGGAACCGTGAAAGAGCTGCGTTGGCAAGAGATGGGGCCTCATTTCAGCCTGCTTGGATGTCATGCTATCTTTTTTCTCTCTCTCTGGTTTTCTTTCTTTCGTTAGGTGTCCGAACGAATTCACAGGGGACCAGTGTCAGAACTTCGCAATGGCCAGCTTTTCCAGTATGTCCTTTCCACTTCTCTCTTCTCTGATGTATCGTAGCTCACACTGTGGCTCCTCTTTTCCGACCCGGAAGGCTCACTCTCCTGCTAAGCGTTCGAAGAGCTACCGCTCCCCCTTGCCATCGGAACGGAGCTTGCGGTCGCTGCACAGCCTGGGAACTCTCTGCACCTAGCCAGGCCTGAGTCAGCTTAATACCCCCGAAGGCCCCCAGACCTATTCGTAGCTCAGTGCAAGGGGGTGGTCTTCGGTCCTTTTGGGGCAGGAACATTTTGCGCAGTAGGGCACGCTGCTTTCAGCTGTTCGGGGATCCCCCGAGGGCCCGCAGAGGTGGCGATGGAGAAGCGTTGCAAAGTCTTTGGGAAAACCAGGGCTCTTCCTTGCCTCCTGCCACGGAGAGGCACTGAATTGGCCAGGGCCACACGACGGCATTTTGGGGCAAAGCCGAAGGCCAAGGCCTGGGCGCTCACGTGTGGAATCCCTTCCCATCCCACGGTCCCCTTGACGTCTCTCTGGAGACTCGGCGGCACCGTGCCTCCACCTCTCCGGCTTCGTCATGGTATTCGTGTGTCCAGAAGGGACGTCGCCCCCCACCCCAAATTGTCAGGTTTTGCCAAGCAATGCCTCCAGGACCAGTTCAGAAAATATAGCTTGAGTCCCTTAGCTTTGTAGCTTTCAAAATGCTGAGCTCAAGAAGGCATTTCAGAAAGGTGCAATACAGAGAAAACAACCAAGTCATCTTTTGTTAGCAGTGTTTTTCATCTCTCTCTCTGCTTCTTTAATCTGAGCATGAATTTTATATTTACTAAACTGCAGCTCAAGGGGAAAAATTAGTTAACAGATGGTTGTATCAAAATATTTTGTGGAGGCAATCTAGAGCTAAATTCTTCCTCAGTTGTTTATTGCAGTTTTTAAAAAGACTTTGTAACTGAAAGTTACGAAATCAAACTAGGTCTGAAGGGACTAGAAAAGAGAAGATAATCAGAATTTAATATATGGAGTAAGCAGATAAAATAACAGCACCACTGAACCAGCAGGTATTCCAGAAGTAAGTTAGATAGAAGTGAGCAGGATGCCCGGTAAAAGGAAACGTCATGTACCATGAATAGAAGTGAAATGGGGAAAAAATCTTATGCAGAGAAACCTGAAAAGCAAAAAGTGCCACATTTCTGTTTTCCCTTACTACGACCTTTCTAGCTCGCATATCTCCATTGGTATATACTGAGAGGTAATTGGAATTTCAGGTTCCATAGCATAACTGAAATAGCCGTTACGTGTCTTGTGTGTGACCCAGCTTCTCGCCGTCTCCCGCATCCATATGAATTTTGCAGGACGGAAAAGTGCATTCGGAAATGTGAATCAGGAATGGCTCCCCGCATCGCTGCGACATTAGTCAGCAGATGTAGCGCTAAAAGTGCCGTCAGCCGCACCAAAGGCACAGGAAGTCCAGCCTTCCTTGTGAATGGCTTGGAACCGCTTGTCGTCTCTGTTGCCATGCGGGAGGTGCCAGGAAGCCTCGCTGCATTCGGGGAAACGTCCCGTCATTTTTGGAGCACTGGGTGTTTCCCCCAGCAGTGCTGCTATTCGCTGCGGGAGCTTTGTGTGACGTTGTGGTTCTGCCCAGCAGCACCCAGTAGGAATATGTTAAAAGGTAGTGGACCCCCTCACACACACACACGCGTGCTAAAACCCTGTATGAAGAGTTCAAAGAAAACGGAAGAGGCTTGGGATGGTGCTTGGTTCTTTGCTTCTTCAGAGGATGCCCAAATGGACCCTGAGAGCAGGTTTTCCAAATTTCGAGTGCGTGAGGTTAGGACCAAACGCACCTGTGGATTCCACTCCCGGATCTGCCACTTTTTCCTTTTTCGCTCTCAGCAGCCATTGGGGTGGAGACAGAGAGTGCCTGGGAAGGAGAGTTCTTGGGGGAAGGGTCTTCGGCCTTTGCTGTTCCCTGCAGAAAATGCCTGCCCCCAAATGCTGTGGTAGCATTTAGCAGTTTGGGGGGCAAAGGGCAGCCTGGCAGCGGAGTCCGTAGGAAGGCAGGGCTGAACTAAAGAGCTTAGGGCCTTCCCCCTGCTGCGGACTGATCGGGGTGCCCCCCATCCCACGGCTGCCATGGGTGGAGAAGGCCAAGCATGGCACTCCACGATTTGGTCAATGTCCAGCGTGACCCAAGAGCTCTGCCATTTTAAAGCAATTTGTGGCCGGCCACATTCTAAACCTCCGGCTCGTGTGACGGCCGGGAAAGCCAAAGAAAGGGGGTCATGTGTGCAGGGACTTTGTTGCAAGCCAAGAGGCGTACCTGCAGGGTGCTGCCGGTCCTTCAGCTCAGCTCAGGACGGGCCTTGCCTGTCTTGGTCGCCGTCGCAGGAGGGAAACTGCCTAGACTTCAGTTTCTGCAAGGCGTTGCTGTCTGCTGGGACCAAAGGGAAACTGAATAGCTTTCGGTTGGCCGAGCCCAGCTCCCGCAGCCTGCTTCCCACCCTGTGATTTGGGGGCTTTAAGATGGGGCCCAGCTTCACTCTCCAGCTGGGCTTTGCTAAAAGATTTCCGAAGCAGTGGAAGACCGCTCGCATCTTTGTGGCGATTTAATTGGTCCTGATAAAGATGGGATGGATTTAGGCTCTGCTGAACGACAGGCGTCACTGCTGCGCTCTTTCTCACCTCCTCGGTGTACGGAAGATGCACGGGGAGTCCTTTTGGCCAGCGAGAGCATTTCAGCGAAAAATAAGCCCGCCCGCAAGCTGGGAGTGGTGAAGATTCCTCTGGCATCCTTCCTTTGTTCAGACGTGCTACATAAGGGTTTTTAAATAGTCTTTTATCTGGGCAGCAATCATATTTTGGAGCGTAACTGATCGTTCTTCTGTGCTGTGGTTAATGCAGAAAACTGTCCCAAGCAAACCCCAGTGATTTGCAGGAGACAGCCCCGTTCTTTGAAAGCTTCTCTGAAGTTTCGTTTTGTTCAGCTCTGTGTCGAGCTCAGGCGCCTCCAGAAATTGGTCGTTTCATCAGTTGCACTTAAATATTTCCACGTGACGTGGCCAGCCTCCTGTGTGTGCACACAGCCACACCCTGGACTGCAGGAACAGGCTTCTTCCCCGTTTGCCTGCCCGCCCCTTGAGACCTGGGGCAGGGGGCTTCCCTGGGAGCCCTCCTCGAAGGCGATCGGGAGGGCGGCTACCCAGGGAAGGGCCTTTTTGGTTTTAGCACCCCCACATTGGGACATGCTCCCCAGGGAGGTTTACCTGGCTCCGTTGCTTTATTCTTTTCAGTGTCGGGAGAAAACCTTTCTATTTTCCCAACATTTAATTGGTTTTATTTTTGATTTTATCAGTAATGGTCGGATGCAGTGTGTTGTTTGCTGGTATGTTGTTGTTTTTGGTTTTTGTATGCCATCCGGAGACTCTGGTATTGGGCGGCATAGAAAAACTTTAATTGGATGGATGGATAAATCCTAAGGCCTCAGATTTGCAAGCAGGAAAGATCTGTCTAGTGACGTGATAAATAGGCCCATGTGTTCAGCCGCCCGCCCCCCATTCCCATCACCCAGGGACTCTGAAGTGCACCTCCTGATTAGCCACCACTGAACGTCTGTCTGGAAGTTCCCTTACACGTGATTGTGCTGATGTTTTTAGACTTGCGGCAATGGTACTGAGTTCTTTATCACAGCTGCTGTACTGTAAAAAGAGAAAGCAAAGCCAGTTATCTACAAAACATGTTTTGTGGTTTTTGTTTTTTTCACACCCTTGGAACTCTCTTTCTTACAAACCTGTTTCTCTTCTCTCTTTTTCTTCTTTCTTCTTTTTTTCTGCATTGGCAGAGCATCTTGGATTAGAATTAAAGGGTATGGAATGAACTGTTCATTTGTTAATCAGATACCATTAAGAATTGCCCACAGTTGTTCACATTGTATTTTGATAGCTTTAATGGGATGGCTAAAAAATCAGCTGGTACCATTTGGAAAAAGGATATTATTCTGGCACCATTTGGAAAAAGGATATTCCTAAATTTGGTTTATTTATACTTTTTATATTGCCTTTAAAGTATGTGCATGACCTCGAAATGAAGGGTCTGCATGTGGAATAGCAGCGCTTTCCCGGGTCGCCGCGAGGCTGTCGCTCAGACCGTTCCAAGCCACTTTTCATTCCCTTTGGGAACCAAGATTTGTCCGGGTCAGTTTGGAAGGCCACCAAACACTCCAGGAGCAGACAGAGATCTCCCGAGGAATTAGGAAGCTGCGGCAATTCCGCAGAGCCAGTCTGGCTCTCAGGCCATCAACACGTCAAAGTCAAATTTTCTCTTCCCTTCTGCCTCACCTCTTTTAGTTTCCCATTGGTCTGGTTTGGAAGGAATTAAGTACAAAAGATTGATTGAAGAATTAACTGCCAAAGTCAGGATAGTTTGGTACGTTGCGCTTATGGCACAATAGGACTTGGATCGTGGCCGTACCGCATCCAAGAGGGAGGGACGCCGCCAGTGAGGTGGCCAGCTGAGATGGTGGAGTCCAGCCTCCACACGGCGTGATCTCCTCCGTCGATAGGCTGCCATTAAGCGTTTGCCCATGGTCCCAAGTTGCCACTAAGTCAGTGGGTCTTTGGTCATGGCGGTTTCAAGCTGACCCCCACGAGAACGGGAACTCCCCGGTGCCTCCTCACCAGTCCCTTCTTTGTGGCAGGAATGGAGGGCTTCTTCCCACACTTAATTCCTTGTGTGCGTGGAAATGGCCGCTGGCCACCCCACCCCATCCCTGCTGACCAGAAGGGGGCTCGGGTTGCAACCCTGTGCACGTGTGCTTGGAAAGAACCCCTGATCAATCGGTGGGACTTATTTCTGGGTAGACGTGTGTAGGTTCGCACCGTGAATTGTGAGTCCTTTCACAGGAGGCGTCCTTCTGTGAAAGAAAAGCTTAATGCGGAAGGTGGCCTTGGACTGACCGTAGAAACCAGCCAGTGCCGCGGCTTCAGACACACGCTGAAATGCCATTTGGAACTGAGGAGTTTTGACTTCCCTTCTCGGCTTATACTTGAGCTGCTTTTAAGGAACGTGTTTCTTTCTAGGCTCACTGTTATGCGCAAAAAGCCCACCTGCCATCTTGTCTCTTCTTCCCCCCTTCTCCGCAGCCACGGTGTTCCTTGCAATGCCCGTGGGTTCCCATCTTTTCTTAATTGGTTTGTTATACGTATATAACAACATCACAGACAAATTTCTTACATGAATGGAAGTGTTACCAGAATGTTATCCAAATTTCTTCCAGCCTAAATTAATTTTAGAATTACTTTTGGCTGGTTTTTCTGCATTGCCTTTTGTTGTTACCATCATTATCCAAATTCATGTAAATGTACATGTTATAAATTGTTCCGGAGCCAACCAATACAATTTTTTCTAAACATTTCTGTCTCTAATAGCAAACAGTACTTTGCTGTTTCAGAGTAACATCTTTGCACAGAAATAGATGCAACAACAAAGAACATCCAGGCAGGAGGTTTTTGTTATCAAAAATGGTTCAAAGTTTGGATTTTTATGGCTTTCTCAGATGGATGATTTAGCAGTCCGTACCTGGATTCCCATGCTTTTTCCAGATTAGGATTTAACATGGGAGAAATAAAATAATGGGGGAAAATATTACTTTAAGAGTTTTTGTTCCCCCAAAGAAAGTAACAGTACATTCATATTTAAAATTTATTTTAATAACTAACATTTAGAGAAATAAAGGAAAAAGTAAGAATGCAAATAAAAATGGCAAAGATACTCCAAGGGTTCTTAGACAAATGCTACATCGAATGCCAAGTATTTTTTTTTTAAATTGCTGCAAATCAACCATCACTATCCTTTCTAATCAGGCATATTTTTTTTGCAGTTGATTAAATTAATTGCAGATTCTTCTAATCTCAAGCAATTTTCTGAAAAATTATGTCCTCCCCCTTTACCTATATTTTCCCATTGTCATCGCCCCCTTAAAAAGAAGTTGCGTGCAGTACAATTTCCACTTACCGTTTTCTTTGGCTGGTTATCTTTCTACATAATGCAAAAGTAAATTCATGACAGTCTCCTTCCTGGGGTGGATTTAACTTTTTTCATCATTACGAATTTGAGAACACCAATTGGAGAATCAGTGTTTGGACACATTAAAGAATTGTATTAGATTTGGCTACTTTTGCATAGAATTCAACTTCATATGTATAGCATTCCATGACAACAATAACCCATAACAAGGTTTGCTACTTGCTGAGATGCAGCATTCCCAGATGTGAGAAATAGTTCATTCACCATTTAGAAATTATCTCAAATACTGTAAACTGATTACTAATGCACTAGCTAGTGTCTGTGCTTAAAAAAAAAGAAAAAACTCCCTAGGAGAATAACTTTTAATGCAGACACTGAATGAAGAGCTTTTTGTGTTCGATCTGTAAAAAAAGAGGAACAATCGATAGACTGAAAAATGCTTGGTACTATCTCAAATCCATTTATTTTTGAGAGTGCTCAAAAAGGAAGGGCTCACTTTGCTTTTCATGGAAAGGAAGTTTTTGAGACAGCTTGCTGTAACCGGGCAAATGCAAATGGGAATAGTTTTCATGGGAGTGCTTTCATCACCGTCCAATCATGACACGCACCGGGTTTGTGTAATCCCAAGAAGTTTGGAGAATGTGAGTACGGCCTGTGTATCTCTCTCCACAGCCAACGTCTAGATGAGACGGATGGGCGGAACCGTTGTGCGGGATTCAGAGTGCAGCGCAGACGGGACGGGTGCAGACGTCCGGGGAAAGTTGCTTCCGTCCATGGCTCCATTAGTGCACTGGGCAGGGGGCGAGAAAAGCGTTCCGGGACAGCTGGGGCCCCAGGGCTTTAGCAGCACGTGAAACAGGGAGCTGGTGAGCCACACAGGGGAATCCCAACACGAAAATGGCTCTCCGTTATGCAATCGGTCTGCTTCCTCTCATCAGGAGCCTCCCTGCTTGGATCGCCCAGGGCTAGGTTTTCTGGCTGGCAAAGAATAAACCTTTTTAGGGTCCGTCTGCTTGGAAGGTAGCACAGGAGTGGAGCTGCAGGTCACCAGGTGTTTTCACACTGGAGTTTCAGAGCAGCTTCTGCTTGACTAAAGTTTCTAATGAGAATGTGAGACCTACGTTGTCGGGAATGTTTAAGGACATAACGAAGGCCTCATCTTTGCTTCCTCTTTTCTGCGAAGTTATGATATTAATATGAATTGCAAGAGAGAGGCTCAGAGGAGAGTTAAGCCTGGTACATGAAAATCCCCTAAAGCTGGAGTCAGTGCTCTCTTTCGGAATGCAATTTCAGCTGTAAACTGTCTGGGGCTGTCTTCTCAGTCATTGCTGTCCCTATAGAAATCCCAGGGCAGTGTAGTGCAGAAGGATCTCTTGTGCCAGAGGATGTCAGTGGTGACAATCAGGCTGAGCCTGAGTCTTTCCTACCTACCTGAAGGCCAGGCCTGATCCTTTCCCCCCTCGACTCAGTTGGATGGCTCAAAAACAACCCCAGCATTTGAAACAGCGGCCAAGAGATGCTTGTCTGTCATAAAACTCCGAAGGCGCGGCTTCTGCTGCACAGGGTAGAAACCACAGCTGCCCCGCTGCCCTTCGCCTCTTGTTTGCTCTCTGTAACCGATGATTTTGCCCCCACTAAAACTCTTGCAGAAGGATGCTTCCAGGAGTGTGTTGTGGGCACCCTCCAGCCACAGCTCTCGATCTGTCACCTGGAGCCCTGACACTGGAGGGGCATCTCTCCCTGCCCCCTGAGCTCCGTGGGCACCTGCCAGAAAAAGGTGCAAGGGCCCAGATGATGAATTTCGATCTGCCCCCGGACGAGCTGGCCTGTGGCCATGCCCTGTGAGTCTTTCTGCCCGAGTATTTTGCTTTTATGTTACTCTTTTTGAAACCAAGACCTCTCCTCTCCCGTTTTACACAGAGGGATGTCCTTAAGAGGCAGGGCTGGTTGTGCATGCAGAAGCACACACGTGCACAGGCATTCAAAGCAGCACAAACCTTTTGGACTTGTGGGCCTGACCCTCTGGTTCTTTCCACTGTGCAGCACTGCCTGTGCATGAATCCTTGAAGGAAGCTTACACAAAGCTCCCCAGCGGGGTTGTTTTTCATCGTCATTCCCTCACGGACCACGGAAGGAGAGCCATTGGCTTGTCTTTCACACACGCGCCTTTTCTGAAGCAGTGCCACCGAGTTCAGTCGGGGGAAGCTTGACTTCTTTGTGCGGAATATTGTGCATAACTTGTGCCAATGTCCAAGCTAAAAGGAAGAAGTCTGGCTTTGAAACTGCCTGGGTTCTCCGTTAGATGTAATCTAGATTCTCAGTTTTAGGACAAATGCAATGAAATTGCTTCAGAGAATGCTGTTTCTTTTTATGGTTGTTTTTCTCAGGTGAAGTTCTGAAGCAGATCCCTTTCGGACTCTTAACGGCATTATTGCTTTATTTGTGTAACGCTGGCCACAGGAAGGTGCTTGGAGTCTTACTGGAGAATATTCACGAGTGTGAAAGTGGCACTCCAAAACTGACCACCCCATTAGTGCAATTTTTCTGCCACAAGTTCTTTCAAATAACAGATGTCAAAGAACAGAAGATTCCTCTGAGAGGATCTGGGCTGCCAGTATGAATTTCACATTTCAGTAGGCCCTGTGAAATTATTACCAAATGTCCTGTTGTATCTTTCTTAAATGAGGAATTATATAAGCATTTGCAGAATGAAGGAGAGAGAAAGAGAGAGGTATATGCCACTCTGTTTATGTATCTAAAGAACTGCAGTGCTTACAAGTGTTTTCAAGACCCCTAAACCCTTGGAGTCGACAATGTTCCAATAACCTCACATGCACTAGTGCGTCATAGAGTGAGTAGCATAGAACAGCTGATACACTTTGAATAAAATGTCTCTTCTGGAAGGGATCTTAGTCCTTGGGCATATGCAGCAACACAATTCTTTTCCCTTAAGTTCAATAGGACCTTTATATTGCAGGTGTGTACCTAACGAGAGAATTGAGGATTATTTGCATCTCCATGGCTCCATTAATTTTAAATGCCAAATATTTTCCCGTAGCTCTTGAGTATTTTCACAGCCTACTCAGCCTGTTCACAAACAAGCCATTTCTGGTCGATCCCCCTGCGCATCGCCCCTACACTTAGCTTTATTGTACAGTTTTACAAACACGGTACACGCCCACCCGTTCACACAGCTGAGCGGAGCACTCCGATTTCCATGCCCCTTGCATAGTCTTTAAAGTAGATTGCCAAGGAAATGAAATAAAAGAAAACCAACCCAGGTAGTCCTGATTAGTCTAAGTGGCTTTTTAAAAGCTGCCTTTACAGATCCACTTATTTAATTGGCTTTCCAGACTCTTAACTATCCCCCTCTTCTCACACCTCTACCTTGAGCCATCCAGACGGAACGAGTTCTTAACACGTGTTCCTAAACTTAAGGATCATATTAAGCAGCCATTAAGTGTATTTAATGAAACATTCATTGAAGTTCCTTACGCCCTGCCCTTCAAAAGACTTCCCCAGCATGGCTTCATAACGAGAACGGAGATGCAGCAGGAGCAAAATTGCAAAACATTGCAGCAAAAGGCCGGAGATAAAGGTTAGCAGGGTGGGTGGGAGAGCAGCAACGTGGCTGTGTGGGGAGGGGGAAGTTGTGCGAGGGCAAAGGTGCCATCAGACTTCCGGTCTGTGGAAGGGAAGAGCAGTCAAGTTCAAGCAGTTCACCAAGCGTCTGAATGCAACTCTTCCGAAGGGACCTGCTCAGCAAGCACCACATGAAAAGTGCGAGGTGCAGAGATCTAAAGCATCACTAGCCGTTGCTTGGCAGGGGAGCCCCTCCTCTGGACAGAGCCCCAAACCAGCACCCTTGGATGGAGCCTTCCAAACAACCGGGCCTCGGGAGCAGACTGTTTGCACCAGTGGGCCCAGCTCCTCAGTCTTGGCGGAGTGGCCAGTGTGATTCCCCCTCCCCCATCATCACAGTCACAACAGAGGCGCAAGCGCGCGTGTCTCATCACTGTCTGCCCCTCTTTGCTTACAGTGGCCCCCAGTTCCCCTCTCACACCCCACTGTCTTTCCTCGAGGCAGTGGCAGCAAACAGACATGGAACAGGGCAATGGGGAACCTTGGCGTTTGCCCTGGCGTTCTGGCTGATTCCGCTGCTCCTGGATGCAGCCAGAAAGTTAGGAAATTTCAGACTAGGATCCCGGACTCGAAGCAGTGAATTCCTCGGTTGCGTCCCCCTAATATCCGCAGGACGTTTGTGAGCCAAATATGTGAAAAGTGCCTGTAACATGAGACAAGTTCCCTTGGAAGAGGTCCTGTTCTATCTAAGGAGCAGTGCAAGGTGCACTGAATTAAAAAGAAAAGCTGCACAGGAAAGCTCTCCGGGGATCTCAGCCAGAAGAAGCAGCCCAAATCATTAGTTTTTGTTCCGCGTTCACAGGTGCAGGAAGTGGTAAAAGGAAAGCTTTAGCGAGAAGAAGGGAAGAGAGCCCAGCTAACGTTGAGGCAGGTACAAGGACCGTCCAGGAAGGCCCCTGCGAGGTTCCGTTCCAGCCATGCGCTTGGGAGCTGCACTTTCAGAGTCCGCCGCTCTTTTGCGAGATGTATTTTAACCGCTCCTTGTTTTTGTGTCCCTTGCAGAAGCCGAGGAGCTGTATCAGAAGAGAGTTCTAACCATTACGGGGATTTGTGTGGCATTGCTTGTTGTGGGAATAGTGTGTGTGGTAGCGTACTGTAAAACCAAGTGAGTGATCTTTTCTGGACTAACGAAAGCCGTACCTTGTTGAACAATTGTGTCATTCTCACCTTTCTGATGGGGTTTAGGCTCCGAGGCCTCTGCACCACAAGACCCAGCTCTCCTCCACCCCAAAAGCAAGGCGGTCAAGGAGAAGAGGGGCAGAGGAGGCCGAGCCTTCTGGACCCGGAGGGCTGAAGCTGCCGTGGCATCGTCCGGTTGCCCAGTGGCCAGTTCTGCCAGGTCCCTTCCTCTCCTCTGCCCCTCAGTGCCAAATCTGCTTTGAGAGTTTTCCTTCCTTCTACCTCCGAGGCTTTCAAAGGCTGGCCCTTTTCTAATTTTACCTGATCGAATATCAGAGAGGAGAAGAGGACATGAGGGAACAGAGAGGGCAAGCTGCAGTTTTGGGAGCCTGTTCCAGGCTGCTTCCAGACAGATAATTCCTAGTACCGCCCAATTGACTTTCCAAACACGCACAGGTAAAGGTAGCCTTTTCTGTGCACGCAGGTTGCATTTGGGGCACCCTGATGGGTGGGACATGGCCAAGCGAGGATGGAAGAGACAACCGACCCCCCGCTTTTAAACCAGTTCTTCATTCGCTTCTCAAACCCTGCGCCAAATCTCTTCTTTATGTATGTGCGGGTACACAAAGATTTCAGCATTTTCGAAAGAGGGCTTTAGCATCAGTTTAAACCACAGGTGGGAGTGGGCAAATTGCACTTCCAAAATGGCATCAACCAGAAATATATTAGCATTTTTTAAAAACTTAACCCTGCCACAAATACGTTGATCATACTTTAAAATACATACATACATATTTATATAGATGGAAAGGCGATTCACTATAAATTGAAACATGCTGAATTATAAAAGCGCAGGAGTGCCAAGTGAGGTGTTTAGACAAGAAGCTCCCCAGCCGAAAACCTCTTTGCAGCCTTGCCTTTCAGGTACTTTGCCCCATCACTGCCTTTAACCTGCTGTCACTGTGGAAGTGTTTTGATCACACTTCACAAGTGTCATGCCCACTTGGGCTGAGCTGCAAAGCCAGAGGAGAAAAAGACATAAATTGCCGAGACGGGAGTCCGGAGCGAACCAACTCCATGACGAGGCGACTTCCCAGCCCGAGGGGATGTAGGCACCCTGTTTGCCTCGGTAGGAGGCGGCAGCAGAAAGACCCATCGCACTGAAACTGTTTCCTGCTCCTGTCTGGATGTCTTTTCCAAATGCAGCCGCTTGTGAGTGAACTGTGTTGATGTGCTTGTTCTTTAGAAAACAGAGAAATCAAATGCACAATCATTTGCGGCAAAATATGTGTGCAGCGCATCAGAACAGGAGCCTCGCAAATGGCCCAAGCCATCCCCGCCTGGACCCGGAGGAGCTCCAGATGGCCGACGTGAGTACCCTTCCCCCTTCCCCCTGCAGGGCCCCCGAGTGGCAGGGGGCCGGGAGGCTGGGGCAGGTGAGGCGGGGAAGGGACCCCCCCCGGCTCTCCACTCCCTCCTTCCCTCTCCTTTTCTGAGCCCCTTCCTCCCCTTGGCCAGCTGTGGCCCATGCAGTGGTCTCCAGGGCGTGCCCCGTGCCACTGTGTTGGGGAGGAGACCGAGTGCCCCCCTGGGGTGCAGCTGCAGCACCCCGCAAGTGCAGCTGCTGAGAGGGCAAGCCACACCTGGGAAGCTGAAGCCCTCCTGCCCGCTCGGGCCACAGCCTGCAATCCCAGTGCTGCGCCGTGGTCCCCGCCATGTCCGTTGCCCTCCAGCGCCTTCTGTAAGGCCATTCCCAGGAACGGCAGAGGCTGGTCACCCTCTGTGGGCCGTTGCGCACCCTGTCGGTCCCCTTTCCCTTCATTGGCCCCTCCTTTCCCTCACAACCGCTTTGGTTGGGATGGGGCTCAGCGCTGCCCAACCAGAACCTCGCCTGGGACTGCAGTTCTCCTGGAAACGCTTCTGGAGTCAACCCGGAACCAGCCGCTTCTGGTGGGCCCAGGCCATGTGCTGGACGGCCGAGGCATCCCGGGCCATGCAGTCCTTGTCTCCCATGGCTGAAGGCCTTCTGTTCCCCAGTGCTGCTCCCTTGGGGTCCACTTGCCAAGACCCCAGACAGGGCACCACTGTGGCCACGGAGGTCTCGCCCACCTTCCCCAAAGCCTCCTGCTTGTCGAGTGAGCCTGTGCCTTGGCATGGAGAAGGGTCTGGGAATTCTTCCGTATGGAAGACCTCAGAAGGCACACGCTGGCTAGAAGGCACACCTTTGATAGTCGCTGGATGGGTTTCCTGGAATGGCTCAGGGGAGCAGGGCCGTTCTCCTGGATGGTGTTCCCTCAAAAGGGCTTGTTAAGGAATTTGCTGCCCTCCCGCCATGGAAGGATGAAGGCACAGAACCGTCCTGCTTCTCACCTTCCGCTTTGATTGGAGAGCTAAGTGTATTTTTAGAGGGTCTTCTACCTCAGAGGGTCTACAGAATGCTCCTTCATCCATAAACTGTTTTGGGAGCTCGGCCAGAACAAGAAATTGAATATCTTGGTCAGCACGAGCTTAATTGGTACCTTCAGTGTTGTTGGACTCCAGTGACCATTATCCCGGACTGTTGGCCATGGTGGCACCCATGGGAACTGGAACCCCCATTATCTGACAGGCACCTGCTTCTAACTTCATGCAGGTGATCTCCCTGGTCCGTTGAAAGGAGGCCACCCCCCCCCCCACGGCACCCTTCACCTTTGGCAAGCCTTAGGGGCCACGTCCGAGCCTGGGCAGCCCCACCCAGACCTCTCTGCCTGCTGCCTCCTCTGAGGAGCTTCCTGGGAACGCGCGTTCGGCGCTGAGCATTTTGCTGCCAGCCCCCGAACGGGGTGGATCGGGCCCTGCATTGAGCATTGTATAAGCAGCATTTATCAGCTGTAGGCGAAGAATGGAAGTCCCACATGAAGTGATATTTTAAAGTATTAAATAAGGAGGAGGAGGAGAAGATAGTTCTTATATTTAATATATGATATAAATTAAATTGATTTAAATATTAAATCAATATTGCAACCTTGAGATTCATGGCCAGCAATTTCTGACTCTTTCCCAGTACATGTCCAAAAACGGCCCTGCCACTGAGCATGTGATACGCAGAGAAACGGGGACCACCTTTTCGGGGAGCCGTTCCTGCTCGCCGTCACATCCCTCCTCCACGGGAACACCTGCTTCGAGCCAAAGGTACCGAGCACCCACGTTCCTTTGCCGCACCTGTTCTCCTGGGCAAGCACCGTGAGCGACAGCACTGGGGGCTTCCGGCATCATTTGGCCCTCGCAGGCCTGCGGTCCTTGCGGTGGGTTAAGGTGTAGGGCCATGTTTACACAAAGACGTCCTTTCACTCCCATCCCGGGGTTTCTTGGTCCTCAGGTCCCACCTTTCTCATGCTAGCGAGAGTCTTAGGGGCCATTTGAGAAGGGCAGGCAGCCCGGCTTTCCCCTCCCAAACCTTCCATTGAACCATCAGAACGCTTGAAGCTTCCCTCCCACTGCAAATAGCCATTCCCTGCATCCCACGGAGGGTTCAAGTGCCCCCTGCTGGCACCGCCCCGGCCCCGGCTGAGGGCTCTGTGGGTGCTGCTAACTCTTAGAAAGCAAATATCCGCGCCATGAGCGATGGTGTGCAGCCGCCTCATATGCTGCTTGGCCTTAAGCAGGTCTTGAGCGTGAGGGGGCCGGGAGGAAGTCCCGTTTTTGCCCCTTTTTATAAAAGCCTAATGGGGGGCTCCCAAGCTGAACACGTCTGGAAATAGAGGACCGCTTCCGGGCCTTCGTGGCATCATCTGGGATTTGTCAGCCACAGAAACATAGAAACAGGGCGAGTCAGAAGGGCCTCCTGGGCCATCTAGTCTGTCCAGCCGGCTCCGCTCATGACGTGCCCACCATGTGCCTGTCCAGCCTATCCTTGGACACCCTCACTGAAGGGGCTTCGGGTTTAGACCTGGCTAACCTGTTGCATCCCCCAGAGCCCTGACCTGCTGGGCCCGGGACCCCACTGGCCCCCTCTCCTCAGTGGCTTCGGCATGGCTCTCCCTCCAGCAGGAGCAGCTAAGCAAGCCGCAGGCCCTCCTCCTGTGGGTCATGTATTGATTGCGCTGCCCAGACCAAGGATTCTGTCTCGTACTTGCCCCAAGAAGTCCGAACGTTAAGCCCACAGCGAATTATGCCCAGTGGTGGAGGACCAGTGTTTGCTGCATCACAGTAAGCCAGGATTCTCCAGAAACGTGCCGTTCGTTGTAACTTAACCGCCTGTCTACATGTATTAAGGTTCCGCTCAGCAGCGATGCGCAAATGTGCATTGTTTGTTTTCAGCCACGTTCTCCAGATTCTGGCTTGTGGCACCAGGCGTCTCCATTTTTACTTTCAGCTCGTTTGTTTTGCCTGAATCGGGACTATTTCTCGGTTTTGTCCGAATGGCAAAACGAATGCGATCGAGCTAAAGCTGAAGCATGAAGTGGCACATGGCAAAGCTGTGCAGCTGTGGCTCTTAGAGTGCGTGTGCTTTTTGCACACAAGTGGGTGTTCGGTCCCCTGTGGGCAGAACGCGAGCTCGTGCTTCTGGGGTTGCGAAACAAAATCCCGCTCACCCCAGGTCGCTTTTCAAGGCCCGCGGAGGTGGCACTGCCTTTGCCAGGTCGCCAGTCAGCGCGTGAGTGATGTGCATTGGAGTCCTGTGGAAGAGCTGGCAGGGGCCAACTCCTGTTTCTTGCTTGGCTCGGTCCACAGACATGAAAGCCACACGTGGAGCTTGGAGCGGACAGAAAGCCTGACGTCCGATTGTCAGTCCGGGATCCTCCTGTCTTCGGTGGGAACCAGCAAATGCAACAGCCCCGCCTGCGTGGAAGCTCGCGCCCGCCGGGAAGCGGCTTACTCCGCCGAGGAGCAGAGGAGGCCGACGGTTCAGTACAGAGACTCTGTGGACTCCCTCCGAGATTCGCCCCACAGCGAGAGGTCTCATTTCTCTCCTTATTCCCGCCCACCCTCCGTCCTACGGATGGGGAACTCACCTCCCTGTCTCTCTGTTTATGCACACACAAAGTCAGTCGTCTAATACAGAGTGAGACAGAGAGAGACAAGATGGGGACCGGGATTTTTAAAAAAAGCTGAGAGAGGGATCCTGGGCGATTCTCCAAGGGGGATACATGAAGCGAGTGATGAGCAGAAGGCGGATGGCCTGAGCTAGCCCCTGCTTCAAGCTGGCCCGGCTAACCCGCCTCGGCTCCCCTGTCTGCCGCGTGGGGGCGGCAGCCCTGAATCGTTCCGCATGCGCCCCGTGGCTGTGGCGAGATCCCACGCCGGAGGACGCCGAGGGCTCTGACCTCTCCTAAGTATTATTCTGGTTCGCCTTCGGTCTGAGCCTCCCCGCCCACCACTTGCATGTGCCTGTTTCTGTGACCCCCGTCATGCCTTCAGGGCTGTCGCATCCCCTTTAAAAAGCCCCATCATATGACTTGGAGGGCTGCCGCCATAACTGGCAGGGGCGAGAGCTGCCCCCATGCGGGGGGGTGGTGTCATTTATTATTACTATCTAAGACTTTTTTAGGCTTACCGTGGCTTCGGGACGGTTTAACAATAAGACAAAACAAAACAAAGCACAGCATCCTAGTCTCAATCAACAAAAACAGTCAGACCTAAAACATTGGGGAAATATGATGTTTTCACCTGGTGCCAAAAAGAATGCCGTGACTGCCGTGAAGGGGCTGCGGCAGGCTGAGCAGCCCACACGCTGCGGGGCGGCCCCTTGGGGTGGCTTGGGGGGCAGGGTCCCCCGTTGTCACGCACACCTGTGGCCCCATCCACAAGCGCTGGGGGCTCCGTGGGGCCGATGCCTGCGATCGTGGGTCTGCCACTGCCGTGCCCAGGTGTGGGGGTGGGCCCGGGACCCCCGTGCACCCCGGGGAGCGGGCGCTGGCCCTACCCTCCCGCCTCCGAGCGCGCCTTGACACCCGTGCCCCGCTTCTCCAGGTACGTGTCCGCCTTGACCACGCCAGCCCGCCTGTCCCCCGTCGACTTCCACGGCCCGGCCGCGGCCCACACGCCCACCTTCGAGATCACCTCTCCCAACGCGGCGCACGCGGCCTCACTGCCCCCGGCCGCCTGCAGCGGCTTCCGTGTGGAGGAGCAGCCCCCGACTCTGCCCCGCAGGCCCCTCCCGGAGGCGCAGAGGTACGGCGGCTGCTACCAGAGGCGCAGCTACCTGGACGAGAGCACGGGCAGCCTGCCCTCCAGCCCCTTCCGCATCGCCGAGGACGACGACTACGAGACCACGCACGAGTACTCCGGCGTGCTGGACCCGCCGCGGCGGACGGGAGGCGGCAGCCGGCGGTGGAGGAAGTCGAAGCTGAACGGGCAGCTGGCGCGCAGGGGCAAGATGCTCCGGGACTCCTTTTCCATGAGCAGCGCCTCACACAGCGAGTCGGACGAGGAGCTGGTGGCCGAGAGCACCCCCTTCCTCGGCCTCCGGGACGCCGAGGCCCTGCACACGGATCCGCCCCTCCTGCGTCGCCCGGCCGAGAGCAGGACGTGCTGTTCCTTCAGCCGGCGTGGCGCGGGCGGTGGCGGGCGGCTGGGGTGCAGCAGCTCCAGCCAGGACTCCGCGCCGCCCTAGGGCCCGGTGGGCTCTTCCTTGCGCCCCTCCGGGAACGCGCCGCAGCCACTGAACAGACAAATTTTTATTTTCTATAAAAAGGGGAAATATAACAAATGAAATGTTTTATTTTCATTTTCGCAATGATGTCTTCTAATAGCTAATGGCAAAGACCTTTTTATAAGGAATCTATTTATATGTAACACCTTGATTTACAGCTTCTGAGAAAAGAGGAAATCGACAAAATAAAAAATTAAAAAAGAGAGACGGGCCGATGTTTGACTACTTGCAAATCATTAAAACTATTGTGGTGCCTTTTGCTGAACGCTTCATGCCGCAGCCCACACGGAAAATTCTGTTCGAGCATTTCTGAGCTCATGGGCTTTGTGTTCAGGATATTTTGCTACGGAATAGTCGACTGGCCCTTTTCCCTTTGGGCAACACCCCTTTAAATTGCTTGATACCTGAATGTTGGTGATCTTGTGCTTTCAATGTATTACTCTCACTTTCTCTCCCTCACACCTGGAGCCCATTTGGCTTAGTATTTTCGTAAATCTTTTTTTCCCCTTTCGGGGAAAATAATAGGTACCACTGAGCAAAAATGACACTTTTTAATCATAAGGGGGAAAAGTGAAGTGAAATCAATTGCACCAAATCGACAGCCCTTACAAATAGATCTCTATCCCCAACCCATCTGTAGTCCAACCAATCAAACATTCCAGAAAACTGTGGTTAAATACTCGTTTATATGACGCTGCTTCTAAAAGCGCTTCAGCACCATGACTGGAGGCAAGTCCTAGCTACTCGCGAGCAGCTCGGAAATGCAACTGCATTTCCCAGAGTAAACAACCTTGATGGTGCTTGCCCAGATATAAAACAGGTGTGAGTTCCCAGAGGAATCTGGACTCTGCACATGTTCTGAACACCCCAGATGAGAAGTGCATGACCTGGCCGAAATCTCTTAAGATTTCGAAACCCGAAATCTCGTAAGACAGTTGATATTGCAATTTTCCAGCTTTTCTGGATGACGCCGGAAGGCACCCGCCGTGTCTTTCACCGATTTCTCCTCCGCTAGTGTACAAACGGCAAGGAGACTCCCGAAAGAGAGCTGACTTCTTCCCCCCGGTTCCCCGTGGGCCTGCCTGTTTACATCAGAACTTGCCTCTTTCCCCCCACTGTTGATTTTTGCATGTCCTTTGCATTTCAGATACTGTAGATTGGATGCATGGAGAAGCTGTGACTGAGAAGATGCAAAACAATCACCAGTGTGTTTCATTTAACTTTTAGCAATAAAGTACTTTGAACTCTTTGTTCCTCACTCACAACAAGGTCCAACAGAGACGCTGCTAATTGTCTCATAGTTGACTGTAAAAATTTGCTGTGGATTATCTGAATGTCAGAACTGTTTAACACTTGAACTTTTTTAATATTATGAATAAAAGTAAGAAATGACCACCGTGGTTCCAACATCACTTTCACGTTCAGTGATGAGAGAGAGGCATGGATAGAAGGGGGACCCTTTCAGACTCGGTCCTCCGAAGCATGTCTCCATCGGACCAGAAGGATTTGCGCACTAGTGGGATTCCTCTGGCCCAGTTGCTCTCCTTCAGTTAATTGCTAATTGAGGTGAACTGGATGCAAGACTTCTTTTCCTGTATTGTTTCAGCCCGTCAACAATAAATCTGCCATTCCAGCGTATCTTGTCCCAAATGAGTATGACTTTGCACTTCCACTGATGCAGATTTACTTGGGAGTAAACAGCACTTTACAAATTGTCCCTAGTTTGGAATAAACATGCATGGAGAGGAATGGGACAGGAAGCTCTCTTGCTCCTCATCGTCTGCTTAGGAGCCCGCCTTGCTGAATAATGTCGGATGCTCTGCCACCTATCCCTGAATATGGATCATAAATGACGGGATTGGAGAGTTCTGGGTCCAGAACAGAATCCGGGCAGAGCACCCGGCTCTCTGCTGCCATGGAAACTGTGGATGAGAATGTAGACACGGAACAAAAACAGAGTCGGGCTATTACTGCCAACACGGGCTGGCAGCTGCTCCCCAGGGTTTGAGGACGGTGTTTTTCTGAAGGCCCTGGAGACCATGCCCAGTGCTTTCTGTGGACAAATGGGCTGACACAGAATGCCACCTGCAGGTCCTCTCTCTGCTAAGTTTGCTCAGAAAGTTGTTGAAGTAGGCCACCCCTTTACAGAAGCTAACAGAACTCTTCCTCTTCAGCAAGAACTTTTTCTTCCCTCTATTTTACTTATTCTTCTTTGTATTATGCTTTGCCTCAACGTACCTGGGCTATGACCATAATTCCCTGGATCCCCACCCGCATGTTTTTCTCTTTTTAAAGCTCTTGTTACAATGGCTGACTTTCTTTAGAAAGGATCCTAATTTTAGTGGTGAATTGCATGTAATTTCCCCCCAAGTTCTTTAAGAACACTTCACAAGATGCTCTGTTCTCCTTCCCCCAGGACGCTCCAATGCACAGGCATGCGTCCAGCCCAGTCTCCATCCAGAATTAGTTAGACAGAATCTGCCACTCCAGGGAAGGAGCGAAGCTTACGGATTTCCCCTGGATGTACAGGCTAAGTTCAGACAGCACCATCTGGGTGAGTGCCGGTTATTGCCTGGGTTGTCTGAACCCAGCTGTGCAGCTTGTGGACCCTTGGGCGATCCTGTGGTTTGCCGTGTGAACTGCGGATCCAGCGATGGCCCCGCTGCGCATTTCGCACACGGCATCTGCAGCTCCCTGTCCTTCCCTCTCTGCCACGGCTTGCCTGCAAAGCAAATCTGGTCTGTTTCGCCTTGAACCCGGACTGCTGGGGGTCCAGACAATCTGGTGTAGAACCAGGTCAAGCTCAAACAGATAAACTATGCCAGAGCCTCACAATTTAATTGAAATGTATTAAATGCTTTATTTCGGCAAACGGCAGCTTTTCAGAACGCCACCATCACTTTTTCTCCGTTTATTTTCTGTTCTGAATTTCTCAGTAGAACAGTGGTTGCATAAGCACAAGTCAGAAGCATTACCGTGGTCATATTTTTAGCAGCTTGCGAAAACGTAGCATAAATAATTGACTGAACCCGTATTATAAAAGCAGCTTTGCTCCACAGACAGTGCTGCTATTTTAATAATTAGGTTCCTTTGCCGCTCTCCTGTGCGCTCCGCTCGCAACTTCGACATTACGGCAAAGAAGGCAAAATTGCCGAAGTCCCTAACCGGGCAGGAAGCTCGCTGAGTGACCTCGGGTTGGTTCTTTGCAGCACAGGGTTGTAGTTGTGAGGATAAAATGGAGCCCAGAAACCCCCTTGGCTCTTCACAAGAGGCAAAGTGGCAGGATACAAATCCAGTGCAGCAAGAGCAATCGGAGCGCCACGTCCCGTGGGGACGGCGTTTCACCCACGGCTGGGCTGGCACAAGGGGGGCCTCCCCAAGGCTGGGGCCCAACGACCCTCCGATCGCCGTGGGGTCTGCTGGACGGGCGAGGAAGAAGGTCCTGGTTCTCCTCAGTAGCTTCCATTCTGGTCTCTCCTTAGCGGCAACGGTCAGGGCTTGTCCCCCAACTCTTGCTATTCTTCCTCTGATACCGCACAAACAAAATGTGTATTACTGTGCAACCACAGTGAGCTGCACTGCACTTTTCCACTGAGCAAAGGGCCTTTGCCTTAGGGATGCCGTGGCGCCAACGCTGGAGGTCCAGCGCCGTCTTCTGCTGGACCCTGGGCCCTGGAAGATAACTGTCGGGGGCCATTGTTCATTTGCTTATATGCAGGTTCGGCAGAATTGAGCATTAAACCTCGGATTTAGCCAAGAGGCCCTGCACCGAGACCGGTTAGAACCCACAGGGAAGCTTGGTGCTCACAAAGGATCCACGCGCAACCTGAACGAAGGTGAGACACTGGCGTCTTCAGGCTTGGCTTGCTGATGGATGGTTAGGACGGAGTGAGGAGAGCAGGCACGCTTCTCTTTGGTGTGAGCAGGGGGAGGTATGTGACCCTTTTGCTTTTCCAGGTGAGGGGAGGAGAAGGGGGCGATATTGGAAAGAAGATTGCAAGGAGGAGAAAAAATGTGTAAGCTGCCTCGTGTTTTTTGGAAGGAAGAAGGATGGACTACAAATAAGATGCGTCTTGTTTGGGATGCCCAGTCTTGCCCAGGTATGAAGGTGACAATGGCGGTGACCCACCTGTTCCGGAGGAGCTGTCTTTGACTTCTTCCTTAATACTTTGTTTTGGTGTGACCACTGGTGTGATGAATCGGCTCCTGCGGTTGCCCTTGGGGGGCCATATTGTCCAGGCTGTCTGGATGCTGCATCATTCCAGGGTGTTCCGGGGGGGGGGGGCACATGGTGTGCATAGAGTGGGGTGAAATACCATGCTTTGTGGCAGTAGCCCGTTCATGTGCCTCATAACGCTTGGGAATAACCCCGTGTCTGCAGCCCAGTGGAAAAAGTTAAATGGCAGTTGTGGGGAGCGGCTGTAGCAGTCGGGGTGCAGCTCACAGAGGGGCAGGGCGTGTGTGCCAAGATGGCAACGACCTGCGAGTGGACAGTGAGTGCAGGCCTTAACTACGAAGTTGTCCTGTTGGCCCTTGTTACCTAGGGGTTGTTGTTGTTGTTGTGTAGCTGCCACGTCATGTCCAACCTTTCCTGACCCCATGGACAACCTTCCTCCAGGCTCTCCTGTCCCCCACTGTCTGTCCCAGTCCACCCACGCGCACACCCACCGCCCCAGGGACCCCATCCAGCCAGCTCAGCCTCTGCCACCCCCTTCTCCTTGGCCGTCGATCGTTCCAGCATCAGGGCTTCTCCAGGGTAGTTTTAGCCATCATTAAAGCCTGTCATTTTTGCCTTTTTAAATTAATGGTTAATACAGTTCCAGATTGACCGGAAGCTTTCTAAGCCCAGCTTCATCATCATGAAGGAAAAGAGGGACTTCTTCCCTAGTTAAGGGAATATAGCTCTTGTTTGTATAGTGAGCAAAGTCATTGATAAAGAAATTGTGGGGATAAATTGCATC